GTACGTTATAGTAAAGGGTATTTTATAAAAATATAATATAACCTTGAGAGAGAGTAAGGATAAAAACAAACATAAGTCTCTATTAACAAGTATAACAAAGCACAGCACTATAAATTTGCAATTAAGATAACAGCATATATAGCGCAGAGCAATATAACCCCTAAAAAAGCTGACGTATGCGATGCGATAAGCGAGTTGAACAGACAAGCGAGTCGGTCAAAAATCTTAACCATCATAAAATAAATCGCAATTAAAACACCATAAACTATCTAATCGATTAAATCTAGCTACTATACTCTTCTTCTGAGGCCTGAATACCTTCCTGACAAGTTCTGGCATTATGTCCAGTCTTGCCGCATGTTCCACAGCGCCTAACCCTCGGTCGCGCCGAACTTCCTTGACCACCACTTCTCGACGATTCAGCTACTACCTGCGTATCTACATCCATCTGATCAATTATATCCCTACCTTCCCATATAGTTAGTACCCCTCTATCCTGTAAGCGGGTTCTTTTTACCCTGCGCCGCCGGGTAAGTATCTCATTTGCTTGTCGACTGTCTTGGAGCTCAGCCCTTAATAGAGCAATCTCATGCATATTTCCCTTCACTGCCTTAATAAGAGATTTTATAGCTTCAATAATTGACTCTGGAGAGCTCCTGTGATGTCTTCTGATTCGTCCTTCAAGGTATTCAAACTAAGATCCGGCCTCAAGCACAGTCTTTGGGGTCTTTGAGACCCAGGAGGTCGAGGGTTCGACAACCTCCTCGGCAGGTGTTGGAGTCCGTAGCTGCACATCAAGCTTTGAGACCACACTTTCCGGGTCAAAAGGAATAAGGCCAGCTCCTCTAAAACCTCCCTTAATATTCTTCTCGGTCATAGTGGCCTGAAAGGCGGCATAAAAGGCCGGGAAGAACTCAGTCTTAGATACGTGGATTATAGACCTTGTGATCAGATGCTCTATTTCTCGTCCATAAGCCTTCTTCAGCGACCCAAAGCACCCAACATCAAGAGGCTGAAGTAGATGAGATGAATGAGGCGGCATATAGAGCGTGGCAATCTTCTTTTCCATGCAGTATTCCTCAAAGTCGGCGGAATGGTGACTTTCGTGGCCATTGAGGGTCAGAAGGCGATAGGAACCAACTGATCGGTTAGTTATGCACTTATCAAAGTGTTTTAGCCACTCAAGAACCGTCTCGTTATCTGTCCAGCCATTTTGGGTCGTGGCAGTAGCCCAATCGCTCGGGAGGTTGCTTCCTTCATACCAGTTGCGAAAGTGATATTTGCCTGCAACCACGATAAACGGCTGGACCGCCCAGCCTTCCGCATTAATCGCTTGAATCACTGTAACCCATTCTCGATTTCCAGGCCGTACTGATTTTGGCTTTCCACGCCTCTCTGCGCCTGACAACTACAACGCTTCCAATCATACCCCATTATAAAGCCGGTCTCGTCAAAGTTATAGACATCATCTGATTGGATACCATACTTCGCGATTGTGTTCTGTACGAGCTTGACGCGATTGTGTTCTGTACGAGCTTGAACCAATTGCGAATAACAGTCGGGTCTTCACATCTAGCCCTCTGATAGTCATATCTCCGCTGAAAACGCGTCTTGAGCTCTGGTTGCCGCTTGACGAAATTGATAGCCCAGCGCTTGCCAACTGATGACGCGTCGCGGTCAGCAAGCAGTCGATTAGCCATTTCTTTAACACCAAGCAATCGGGGAGGATATCCTCGCGAATCTAGGTCGAGAATATACTGAACTATAGTCTGTTCCTCCAGATCAGATAGTTTTCGTGACTTGGGGATAGTATCAACCCGGGCTTGCATCCCGTTTTTGCGATCAAAGAGACTGCTGTAGCTGATTTGGTATATCTTTGCGGCTTGTCGCAGACTTAACTTGGGATCGTTCTGATAGCTCTGAAGAGCAAGAGTAATTCTAGCTTCTTTATTTGGTTGTGACCTACTAGGTGGTTGAGAATCAGTTGATCAGACAGAGAGTGAGGTGTATGAGGGATTTTTGACCGTCTCGCTTATCGCATACGTTATTCCTAAGTACAAATTAGTGCAGTTATTTCTTAGAGCATTCCAGCGTATCAGACATTAAGGGCAGTGTCTAACACGGACCGGAGAAGCCCCTAGGTGGCCCTCTCTCTAACTATTCAGCATTAGCCTACTAATACGCCTTTTCATTCCAAGTTCTCTATTAGAGGAAAAGAATAGGGCTTTACCGAGCAGTCCACTTTTACGCAAGTGCGACTACAGTGCAACACTCTGGTTAGTTTCAAGCTGCCCAAGCTCTGTCTATTGCTGCAGTTTTCGAAAATTAATAGGAGAGGAGGCATTATGGTTGATAAACAGCTGTAGGGCGACTATAGACCATCGTGATACTAGAGATGGCTGGGCAACGTTATGCCATGCGAGACGCAATATTTATAAGCAAAAAGCCTAGGAGTTAAAATTATAGTGCTTGAAGAACCTATATGTCTCTGCTAAAATAAGTGAATAAAAGCATACATAAGGTCTAGTGTATAATCCATACTGGTGCCCCCTCCTGATAATGAGAAAATGTCTTGTCCTGAGCTAACGTGATCGATCCGAAAAGAGACCCACAAATCGGTTCAGCAGTAAAGTGATATCCATAATTCAAAGTGTTCCGCTCTAGATTTCGACAAGAAACGATTTCTTAGCACTGGAGGTCAGCAGGAACGTTCGCGCCAACTTGCTCTGCACACATCGAACAGTCTCCGCCGGTGCAAATGTTGGGGATACTACATGCGGCATTGCTACTCTGCAAATCGATCGTTGCACAGCATCCTGCACGGCAAACCACTCTCTGGGAACCGCACTGATTCATGCCGTTTAGGCCCCCTCCGTTGACGTCACATCTAACAGTGACATCTCCCAGCTCCGTGGAAACACTTATTCCATTGTTGTCTCTCGGACATCCAACCAGTTCCACATCAGGTGCATCGTCGAAGCTGACCAGTACGGTGCAATAAGCTGATGACATCCCTCCTGCGATATCAAGGACCAGGTCGGTCACTCGTGTGGCACCGACATGCGTCGCAGCTAGAGTAGCGGACAAGACTGCGAACTTGAGCTTCATCTTATAAACCAGGATAAGAATCAGTGTGATATTTGGTATGTTCAAGAAAGTGTGTGAATTGTTGGTGGCTGTTAGGTAGGGGAAGTGCCTGGCCTGGAAGTAGTTACATGGAAAAGCTAGGCCTTTATATACGTCGAGCCAACATCCCAAAAGTCTCTTCGATAAAATTAGATATCATGATTCGTCCAGTAGGAAGGCCGACTGAATTCCATAAGCGTCTAGTGCTTATTCGGTAATTAGCGGAAGATAATCCAATGTTCAATAAATTCGTAGCTGATGAACGTGCAGCAGGGGTGGGAACACGAGGAATCAAAAGATGGAAAATACATAACCTAGGGTAGGACGCTATGGGCAAGTCCCTACGGGCGTAATAAACACATGCATGTGCTCACGACATATGCATGGTGCTTAACTATTTCCCGCTTTGTAGATATTGTCTTCAACAGCAGAACAAAAACCTGCAGCTAAAGTCGCCAGAATTTTATCGAAGTTATTGATCAAATCACTTCGATGGGCTGCGTCGCATGGATTGCCGATTTAGGTGGGCATGGTGGAGATCTTCGTTGCATAAGCGCGGGCTTACCTAAACGCGCTGTCAGCATGAATGAATGAATGAAGTTTATTCCGCCCGGGGGCAAGTACGCTAGGCTATTTACAGTTCTAAGCTTTTTTGCTCGCGTCTCCTAGAAGCCCCACGCTCTTCCTCAACCGCTGATATGTCTAGCCTAACGCGCTGTCAGCTTGTCAGCACATGCTTGCCATGGAACGATTGTCGAAGTCGGTGTCTGACTCAGCCCCCTGTTGCCATGGGACATGAGACCGTTGCTAGGTTCGTGAAAAAAAATTATAAGCCCGCTATCACAGGAATCACAATCATCGATCTCTATTGTTTGAATTGAAGCCACCTGCGAAAGAGTCCAAGAGTCTTGGCTAATAAGCAAGATGGGAAAGGGAGCCCATAGGTTCACGGGTACCCGTGATTTTATTAGTCTTACGGGACCCGTGGAAGCGAGATCAAGTGCATGAGCACTAACACCATCCAGAATGTTCTTGTCTCGCCTGCGAAGCCAATATCAGGTTCCGCCATCATAGTGGTATCGCGCTCAAGAAGTCCCCATCCGGCCTTTCAAGCAAGCGATGCGAATTGTCCAATCCGGACGGCGGCCGATTGATGCGTGACATGTCACCGCCCTTGGAGGACCGAGCCACGGCATTCTTCTTCTCGCGGTATGTGCTCAGTACTAACGGCGACCCTCAGTCGGATCCGAAGAGGGGTGTCTGCGAGTTCCTGTTGTTTATATTGCGCAGTAGTGCTGGGTGAAAATATATTTTATGAAACTTGATTGTTCATTATTGATATGAGAGTTCTTCTCGGGTTTATATCTCTAGATGATTTCATCTAGGACTTTGAACTCTAAATCTAGGACTTTCAGACTAACAGTCTGAATCCTGAATGGAAGGGGGATTCCCAGATTTTCCAACAGCTGGTTGATGTCTTTCAAGAGTGGCAAAGCACATCGGGTCTTAGCGTGGTCTGAAGAGAACGCGTTGGCTAGACGATCAACTTCTTGCTTGTTACCCTCTAAGGCATCGCCGCGATGGGCTGACCAACAGGCGGACATTCTATATCCCGTGTTGGAGGCGCTAGTCAAAGCCATCGGGTTAGCTAAAATTGACATTTCGAATTTCGCGGTCAGTAAGCTAGCCAATTTGGCTCTTAGTGCATTTTTCTCTGTCCAACCAGAATTTAGCGGTCATACGCTAACGCTTTTCGATTTTCGCGGTCACTTTACTAACCTAATCAGGATTTAACGGTCAGTTCAGGGGTATCTCATTTCCTGATACCATCCTACGAAAACATACCGTACCCACCACGACCCATCATACCCACAATGCCGGGAACACCCAAGAAACGCGGGCGGCCCCGAAAATACGGCACGCCGAAGGACAAGGCTAAGCATGATGTCGTGGCCAAGCGCGCTCGAAGACGGCTTCGGAAGCAAACAACGCACGACAGCATCAGATTTCAAATCTACGTTTCTTCACAGACAGAAGCATCGCCGGTTACACCCTCACAGGGCATCGAGTCGTATGAAACAGGTATTCCGGGTGATCCCCCAGAGGCAGATAGCTCGTTAAATCGCGCCGAGTCACCCACTTTGTCAATTGACGCGGTCGTAGCCAGTGGTGAACAGTCTCCACAATCGATAGAGGGGAACGTCTCGGCGTCACCGTGCCTACAGCTTCTTGTGAACATGTCGGGACCGCATGTGGCAAGAACATCGTTCTCAACTTCACAGGAAGGCTCGGCAGAGATTTCATTGTCCTCAAGCCCTGACAGGATCCCAAGTGATCCGACGAGTCACGCTGCCGGAGACGATGACATATGTATAGAAGCAGACTGCGAGCCATGTCATATCAGTAACGTATCAAGTTCCTGCGAGGATGAATACACAGCGAATTCATCGTATGAGAAAGATTGTGTTACCACAAGTTCATGTATAGTATTTAATGACGACTTGGGCAGGCCACCAGGCTTTCTATCCATACGCGTATGGATTAATTAATCCATATGGAATAATCCATACGCGTTAATCCATATTCCATACGGGGATGTCGTATTCCATAAGTATGGCAATACGGCGGAAAAAATTTGATCCCTGTAGTAATCCCGTTCAGGGGCGATTTTCCAACTCTCCACTCTTTCTTTAATTCCAACACCACTGTGTAAGGACGCTGCGTATGTCCTCGCTGATGACATCCACTTCCACTGACCCTGCGGGGATTCCAGTGTCCACAAGCGAATTGTGCTCTTCCTCAATCTTCAGCACGAACCCTCGATTCTCAAGCGGCGATGTCCAAGAGCGCATGGCTCGAAAGCGTAAAACGACCGCAAATACTTGGGCTCACGCCCGTGAGCCCCTCAATTCGGAGCCATCTCGTTGCGGTCGCAAAAACGAGAAGATTTACTACTGCATGCATTGTGTAAGTCCGACTTACTCCACGACCGTTTCAACGACCTTTCGGAATCATCTGCTCAAGATACACGGCATTGAGCTGGAAGCCCATGAACATCCGATTAAAAAACGGCGTGACCGTCTGATTCAGGATGCTTTCGCCAAGGCCGGCGATATGCATGCTGCAAAGCAACTGGCAAAACGAGAAGAAACTCTGAGACATGCCATCAATCACAAAGCAGCGTTGGAGGCACTTATTCAGCTCGTGACTGTCCGTAATCTCTCTTACAACTGCAGTTCTTGGCCAGAGCTTCATGCGCTCATTTCTGCAGTCAATCCTGCAGCAGATGACCTCATCAGCCTTTCTCACGGCTCCATACAGAAGCTTGTCTCCAATTCCTTTCGTGTACACAAAGACATGTTGCGAAGAAAATTGCAGTCTACACCATGGAAACTTCATCTCTCTGCTGACGTGTGGTCTGCTCCAAATCACAAAGCTTTCCTTGGGATATGCGTCAAATTTGTAGATCCGGATGCAAAGGAAGCGCTGCAGGCACTATTAGCTTTGTCGGAGTTGCCAGGTCTTGACGGGCCGGGTAGTCACGGTGGTGCCGAACAATGGAAGCTTCTTCAGCACGTGCTCGAGGATTATAATATCTGGAATAAGGTGGGATTCTACACTGGTGATAACCATGGATCAAACGACAAATTATGCCGCTTACTCGCCAATTATCTCCAGGAGAAGGGCGTCGACTGGGAAGCCAAGACCCGTAGAATCCGGTGCCACGGCCATATAGTGAACCTGGCAGTTCAGGCTTTCCTTTTCATAGACTCAAAAGAGGCTGCTCGAGCGGCTTTGGAGCATATCGAAGACACCGATGAATCGGCTTTTGGCACTGATTTTTCTGAAAGGATCAAACCACAAAGGGCGCAAGGATGGCGGCGGCTTGGGCCTCTTGGAAAGGTGCACAACATATCGATTCACATGCGCGAAAACGACTATCGATGGAATGAATTCAAGAAGCGCGCTGGAAGATCGCTGGGGCTCGACAACGATACACGGTGGAACTCATGGTTTCTCCTGCTGGACACCACTCTCAATCTTCAGAGCTATGTTGAGTGGTACCAGAAGAAGTATTACCAGGATTTGCGAGATGACTACCTCACGCCTGATGAGTGGAGTGCTCTAGGGGAGACGCGTGCATTCCTTCAACCGTTCTGGAAGATCACTCAGCTTACAGAGGGTCGTTACGCCACTCTAGACCGTTCACTTTTTACAATGGATGTTCTTCACAAACATTATACACAAGCATTCCAGAAACACTCTGGCAACGCCACACTACGGAGCTGCATTGCAGCTTCTTGGGCTGTATTCGATAAGTATTATCAGCTTACAGATGAGAGCCCTGCGTACGGTGCGGCAATAATACTTCATCCGTCACGACGTGTAGCCCATATAAAGAAGAACTGGCCAAAGTCCTGGCATAAACCAGTTCTTGACGGCGTGCGAAAGCATTGGAAAGACTACTACCACGAACTCCCGCTCCCCACCACGACACCACAGCTGAGAGACGAAATACGGCGCCTTGATGAGTATGACCTACTCGCTCGGGAGCTTGACGTTGTTAGCCCATCTATGAGTGAGCTGGACGAGTACGATGCTTTCACGACGCAACCGCCCATTGTCATTGACTGCTCTCCACTTTCTTGGTGGCTCAGAGAAGAACAACAACAGACATACCCTCGTCTCTCTCGAATGGCTGTTGATATCCTCTCGATACCAGCCATGTCTGCCGAGCCGGAGCGCGTCTTCTCCGGGGCGAGACGCACAATTTCATGGGACCGGTGCCAATTGGGTAGTCGTACAATTGAAAGAGGTGAATGCATGAAGAGTTGGATCAAAAGCTGGATAACACAAGGTTACCCGGTAGATTTACTTGAAGCGGAAGGTATTGAGGACAACAACGTAGAGGGGTTAGATGATTCGGCTGGCTGGCAGAGCTCCAACCCAGATTCGGTTTAGTTGATAATGTAAATGACGTCATTTCTTAGTTTCCATATGTATGGATTAAGTTCCATATGGGTTGCATTCCATATTCCATATTCCATAAGGCGCCGTATGGAGTATGGAGTATGGATAGAAAGCCTGCAGGCCACGAATTGATGGAATCACAAGACAACATGAAGACGCAACGTCTGATGTCGAATCTCAGCCTGAAAATGCCTGGCAACCTGATTCCATTTCTGAATCGGACGTCTCAGATATGCGAAGCGAGGTGGAGATCGGCGATCAAGACGAACGCATCAACGTCTCGCTGGAATCAGATGTCCACTCAGCCAAGTGTTTCTTGGAAAGAAACTGGGAATATACTTGTGACTGCGAGGAAGAGGCAGAAGAAAACGAGGTAGAACATACTGAAAACAACGAGCCGCCAGTACATGGCCTACTGGATATGGTCGACTATTGGCGGGGCCTTGCAGTACCAGACTCAATCGGTCGTGCCTCACCTCACGCTGAGACAGGTGAAAGCGACGAGGGTCAGCTGGATTGGTACTCAATCTTGAGCGGTGGGGACAACCGTCCAAAACTCGACATTCAGATGTCAGAGAGTAGCTTCCCCGAGGTCCAGCGCACTTGGGATGTGGATAGTATCATTTCCTGGGCTACCTGCTTGTCCGTCAATCGTGGACTATATATCGTATCATTCACCACCTACTAGGAACTTGGCAAGCAACCTGCATGTTTTCCATCAGGGAACGCCCTTGCATATTATCCCTCACCTCCGACTGGGCAGCGGACGGCAGTCGCCTCAGTTCGGAGTTTATGTCTTCTTTCCCGCGATCTCTCACGTCTGTCGAACGACCACATATCTGACCAAAAAGGAAAGACGGATGTGGATTGACGAACTCCTTCTACCTGCCATCCGCCACTACTGCCCGCCTGATGTGATTCAACACCATCCTCGTTCTTTTGACGATGTGGAGAGTAAGGCATACAGTCGTCAGAGGGAAGCTTGTAGCGGAATGGTCCGCAGTAAGATGGATATGCACCATTATCTCCCGCAAGAGTACTTACAGCAGATATGGCATTACATGAGACAACGCGCTGAGCGGTCCGACCTTGCCATGTTCCGCGGAATGTTCATCGTCTTGAGTGCGAAAAACATCAAACTGGAGGCAAAATCGCCAACGTTGCAGCAATGTCGTGCCAAGATCGCTGAACACCTTCATCACGTTTTGGATTGGTCTAAAGCCGATCTATCGAATACCTGGATAGATGTTGGCATCGAAGATACGGCAACCTCGGAAAAGTATACATTCTTGCATAAAAGTAAGTGCTTGGAATCATGGATTCGTTCAATGAGGTATAGCGACAATAAACCGTTGGTATCATCAGAACATTTCAACTGGAGCCTGACTAGCCAAGCCGGAAGCGCTAGGGTCGAGACCCGTCGCTCACATCCACTACGCAATGGGGGCATCGCTTACGCCCAACGGTATAATGTGAACAAGGATCTTTTCTGGACAGCGGCGAAACAGGATAGAGCGCTATTTAGCGAGCCAAATCTGGAGGGGCTGACGTGCCCGCCTTCGCTACTCGATGCTTGGATCGTCGCTGCTCGACAATATCGTAATGCCGGGTTAGCGACATCCGATAAATCTGCACCCAAACTCAAGCGGCTTCGCAAAGTCTTTCAAGCTATGAAAGCTCGAATAGGGTTCGCACTAGACAGTTCTGTGAACACGAGTTTCGGTGTTCGAGAAGAGTACCGGATTTCTTGGGAACTGTGTACAGTCCTGAATCCTGTCGCTTTGAACTTACAAGGCCAACATCGTTCGTTCTGGGTATTGCCAACTGCTCATGTCAACAGATTTATGCGTTGGGAATTCAACCGTTGGCTTTCTGCGATCGAATTTGTTAAATCTCGAGCAAGTCGTCGAGATGCTAATTGGGAAGATCATCAGCGAAACATGATCATGGCCACTATCCTTCTTCGTTCATTGAAGGCCAGTGTCAATTGCCATCATGTGGCCAGGCGCTCGCAAATGTTCAAAGACACGTACAAAAATAGGAAGGGCAAACCTCTTCGCGGCTTAGACTTTGAGAGCAGTATGCGTCACACAGGTTTAGCCTGGTTACCTCGCGATCTTTTCCATTGGTCCAACTTCCACCTACAAGACGATCTTGTAGCTTCAACTACCTTCACATTTAACGGGCTTCAGGGCGTTTTTCGCAACTGGAAAGAGGTGGAGTCTGCGAGTAAGGAGTACAGTAAAGCCGGAGAGTTGGAGGATCTCCTACGAGCAAGCGAGCCCAATACTCGTCCTGCTACTCTGGATCGGATGCGGAAAATGGTCTACCGGCACTTTGCACTTCAGGTTATCCGATATACCTGTAGCCATGTAATCGTCGATTATGAACTTGAGAATGATGAACTTCGGTTGGCTCGAGAAGGATACAACGGCCTGAGCTTCGACATCATTCACAAGCTGACCGGCGAGCCTCCCTATCTGTCCTATCAACCATTCAGAAGTGATCTTGCGGGCTAAATCATTTAGAATCCCATATAAAATAAAATGGCGCTATTGAAGTATGGGGGGGCAAGCTCATTTAGCAAACAGAGGGGGCAAGCTCATTTGAACCCGCCGATTAAAATTGCCCAAAGTGGTATATATTGAAAGATAACAATTAAGTAAGTAATTACCCAAGCCATAAATAAGTTCCAAGCTAGATTGAAGCGTTGCGATAAGTTTGAAGTTTGGCCAATATTTTTTGATGCGGTCGTTGAGATTGGGATTGTGTAATATGATTGGTTATGCTGCATGGACCGTGCATTGTAGTACATCAGATCATGGAGGGACAAGCAGCCATTTGGGTGGGGTAAGGTTATTAATCAAGGCAAGAGTATATGCAAGGTATATCAACCAAGAAATTCCAATTAAGATAGATTTAATATAAATCCGGTTTTGGTTTATATACCATAGAATTATATATTATATTTATTATAGAAAGAGGAAATATATAATATAAAAGTAATCCCATTAGCCAGGCAAGAATAGATCAGCCAGTCCAGCAAGCCAGATATAACCCGCATTCCGACCATTATCCCAATGCGAGATAGAATGCCACAGACAGAAGCCCAGAAGCAAGGTAGAGGCCGAGTTCAAGGTCCGTTTAAGTAATATAAAGGTTATACAGTATGTATATACATCATAAGGCAGATAGTTCCATAGCAGGAGAGAGTAAGTATAAAAGTTCACAAGAGATAGGGGAAATTTAAAATAGAAGCAAAATATAAGTTTAAGGAATATATAAATCGTTTTTATCACCATATACAAATAATAATCGAGGCCATAGTTGCCAGAAAATATAAGTTGGCCATAGCAAAGAGAAAATAAGGTTTAGGCCATAGCAACCGCAAAAGCAAGTTTATATTTACATATACACAAACCAACCCCATAAACAACAGAATATCAACAAATACCAAATGAAACCAGCAATCCATTTACAGACCAACATTTATCCACCAGAATATTAACAGCAGCATATAGGTTAGTATAAGAGTTAAAAGAAGAAAATAACAGCACATAGATACAGCCGGATATACATATAATCAATCCGGGAAGATTCGCACTGCATTATTCGTCACGCAACAGCACGCAAGATGGAGCTATTTATTTGTTCGCCCGAGTACCCGTTCGCCATTTGTAAGAAATGCAAGGTAGGATTTGTTACCAGCGAAATCGGGAACCATTTGAATCGCAAGCACGGCAATATCAGTCGGAAAGAGAAGCAGAGGATCATTCAAGCCATTGCCGCACATACATCCATCGCCAAGAATCAGGACGAGGTAAAAGGATGGTTATTACCGCCGCCAAGTATCAGCCCCCATGAATTCATTAAGCCGCCGCGATATGATGGATTAGGTTGCAACCTAATACTACAGTCCAAAATCAATTGTACAACAATTGATTTAATTTACCCCACTTTACAGGGGGTTGACTTGATTTTTGACAAGGGGTAGACTTGAATTTCGAAAAATGGACTAGCGTTGGGGTAAACTCGATTTTGACAGGGGTTGACTTGGGTTTCTGATTGGTTCTTGGTTACACGTTCAGGCAAGACAACACTTTAACAGCAGCGCGTCGAGCTTTGAATCCTATTTATCAACATCAACGTCTATCACAATGAATGTGAGATCTAACCAACAATCGATTATTTTTTAGCTTGTTTCAAGAATATCCGTCAGACCATGGCACTCAAGCCTATAACGGAGCTCGGCCCTTCCAACCCTATCTACCCGTTTATGCTTCTTTCTCAATATCGGATTCTCGTTTGTCAGAAGTGCCAACATGCATGCTTGGCTGACGAAGTCGCCACTCATCTTGCCAAAAAGCATCCTGGGATAGAGCCAGGGGCCCGACGCAGACTGGTGGACGATACTACAGTGATACCGAATGTATTACAAAGTCGGGTCGAGCTATCTCAATTACAGTATCCACCACCATCAGCCGAGCCCATCCCCTGTCTCGCCCCTCCCAAGCTTGACGTGCTCGAATGTCGACATTGCAGTTACAAGATTCGCCAAGTTCAGGCGATGCAAGAGCATTGTGCCAAGTCTCACGACTGGGTCAACCCCAGAGGTAAAGGAAGGCCAATAACAAGACATCCAACGGCCGATCCTCTGCCGTGGTCAGAAGGTGTCGCATGTCAACGATTCTTTCCTTCTCGGGAAGGTAGCAAATGGTTCCAGGTCAACATACAGACAAAGGAACAGGCAAAGCCAAAACTACGTTCTAGGCAGATAAATCATAACCTGATTCGTTTGTTGTGAGTGGCTTATCTCGATATTGGATTAATTGTAGCTGACAGGATAATATTCAATTCGTAATTAGAAATTCTTTTTTTTTCTTTCTCACCACAGTCAGAAGGCAGATTAAGAACTATCCCTGCGCCTAGTAACTTTTCCATATTAATAGCGCTCCATAATGAGCTGCGTCTTTAGTGAGTCCTCCTTGAGAAACCAACCCTTGCCCTCCAGGTAGGAGATGAGGCTGTCGTGCTTTGTCGAGGCTATCGTGCGGTCCTTAGTCTTGAAAGACGCCTCGACGAGGTAGTCGATCCCCGTACCCGTGCAGTTGCGGATGGGCCAGACCTCAATGTAGAGCCGCATCCCCTCCCACGTGCCAATCGAGCGCTTGGCGAGGACCGGGCCAAAGATACGCGACTTTGCCAACGCGCCGGTGCCCCAGTTGCTACACCGCCAGTTGTCGAACTTATCGGGCGCTTCGCCGATCAGCATCGCACACGAGTCGCTCGTCCCCGGCAGGTCCATGCCTGTATTCCCAGCATCCGCCGCCTTCTTCTTATGGCTAATAGAGAGTGTGTGCTTCTGGTAGCCCCATTCGACTTGCGCCTCGTAATTCGCGTCGCCGGCGTCGAAACCATCGTTATTAGCTGTGGTGAGCGCGACGTCAATGTCACCGCCGATGATGGCATACCGCTTCTTATACGTCAGCTCTAAATCGTCCTCTTTCTCAGTCTTGCGGATGCGGGCGCTCCAGCCGGCGGTATAGATGTCCTTGCAACTAGTGTCGAGAAACTGGACATTCAGCTTGGTGACGCTTGTGGGCATGTCGAAGGTCGACAGGACGGTACTCGTGAGCTTCTTGTTGGGGCCGAGGACCGCGGTGGGGTTGAGCAGGAGCTTGACCTCATACTCAGGCGTCATATTTGGCGCTGCTTGTGCTGAGGAGTCGGTAATGGCGGCCATGTCGGACAGGCGGCGCGGGGAGGGCTACGTGGTAACTGGCCGTTAGCGGGCAGGGTTTGAATGAAGCGATAAGGGCAAATGAGTAGCGGTAGATTGTAAGAGCGGACCAAGTAGGTGCGGTAGGGACCGTTCTTGAACGAAACACCAATAATTCCTCTACCAAGTACGAACAACAGCAAGCGCGTGTCAGTCACCATCGCTAGTGTCAGTCACCATCGCTAGTGTCACTTTCCGACCTTGGGGCAAGATGGTAATAATGAGATCACAGTAATTTAGTGCAAATGACTTGTTCTATTTGGCTTCTATGAGGAAATAAACAAGGTAGTTATCGGGGTAAGACGAGTAATCTGAGCTCGCGAGGCGCTAAAGGATTGACGTTCGATTGCCAATGCTTTTCTTATACTTCTGTGTAATGGCGCGTCTGAACTTAAATTTAGATAGTCTGTTGGCATTATGCCCTTGATGTCCAGTTGTAGGGCGGCGGTCTGACCGCGCCATGAAGCTTCTATTTTCTGTGACCGGGCTAACGGTCACGATGATGTCATAAGAACGCCTTGCCTACCTGATGTCGAGGCATCTACGGTTTTGGCTTTAGCCCCTCAGACTCTCGAAGGAACGGATTCGTAGTGGTGTATTGGTAGTTGAGCGAGAGCCTGGTCGTACGATCTTCATGCAGTTGGGGGATAAAGTTCATGGGATGAGAAATTGAAGAGATCAGACTGATAGGGTTGGGAGGGATGGACAGGAGTTGGTGTGCAAGGGAAATAGTATGAGAGATTGTGTCGTTGCGTCTTGTGACGACGGCATGTTCTAGCATCGGTAGCTTGAAGTTGTGAAGCATCAGGGCGGCCACAACACAGGTGCGGGATCATCTGCACTGTGAAGAGAAGTGATCGCATTGTCTTGACGTAGGAATGAGAGAAGCTTTGCTGCTGAACCCAGACAGGTCCATGTACCCAAGACGACTCAGGCGATAAATTGTATACACATTGCCTTCCAAGGGTGCTAGTTATGAATACTAAAGTTGAAGAACAGTAACTGTTAATGGATGCTTCGAACGGAAGCTTTATGCCCTGCTCGGCTTTTTTATGCTCTGGGCATTGCACGGGTGTGAAGCGGTGGCGGGAATGTTTTCAAATCACTATTAGTATGCGAGAGATGAATATTCGATTTCCTTTCTTAACGTATCTGAGCCCGCACAAAGTGTGGTACAGTTGTGGGGGCTTTGAGCTGTATCGCTCGTAAGTACAAAAGTAAGCTCGGTAGAGGGCAGGATCATCGTGATGGCTGCGGTCCTTTCCCGGAGCCTCGAATTTAATGGCTCCATTGAGTTCACTAAGGGAATGGCGATCGTGGGCCCTGGACATTATGTTTCTATGCGCCAGTTGGAGAGACTAATGGTCCTTTCGCCCATGAACGTCGAGGAGGAGACTAGGATCCACAGGGTAACAGGGAACTTAACTGGAGTTTGAGACCTTATAGTCATCGTGCTTGACGTCGCAAGAGCTCGTGTGTCCCTAGCAAAGCTCTAAGGCTATTAAGTTCTATTTTAACTCAGTTTATCCTGGCTATTATTGTTGCAATCTTATGACTTTGGCTGTTGACTCTGGTTTTCACCAAGTGATCTCTCCTTCGCCGTCCAGCTTGGCTGAGATGGTGCACATTAGCACATCTTACAAAACATTGTTGTGCAGTCTGCATCGCGTCAGAAGGTGAAGATAAAAATAGAAAGAGTGAACGGGAGGGAAGAAAAGAAGAGAATGGAATAAAGGATGTCATGTTCTTGCTACGCCAGTTAAGCTTGCCTCCGTCCGGCTCCCCGTCAAACTCGCCTCTCAGGTTCTACGAAATGCTACCACTCTATCTGATTGTTGTAACTAATCTCCTTTACATTACAGCCGGGGCATTACAGCCGGGATAGCTTGCACGCCTGGGAAACTCTCGCCGAGCAAACAATATACATCACTAGAGGCGTTGACCAAACCTGGATGTACTTCGACTCTCTAGCTCGAGCTAGACCAATCTTGATCAAGCGGAATGTTAGTCGAAACAACCCGATGCTGTCACAAGATAGGCTGAGGAATGCGAGAAAACTGCTTGTTTCACCATGCTCTTCTATGTTCATGAAAGGAGCAGTTAACGCTGATTACGGGAGTCGCAATGGCGTGAAGAGTGCCTCTTTAGCCCTAATAGCTTTACATAACGAAATAACATAAAATATAGCAACTGTATCATCGTTACTCTTCAATCTCATCGTTACCGAAGTTGCAGCCCTAAATAATAGGCTGAACAACTTAGACTGACTCGATGCCACGTATATACGTCAAAATCCGCGTCCTATTTTTACATTTTCTTTCTCTTACTTTCAGCGCACGGACGAGGCTTAAAAACGAGACAACACTGTATTGAGCGAACAGCTCTCATACTGTCGTCTTCATGCGTCAGAGTGAGTTTTGTATAAACACCCAAGTACGGCTAGATGTACCCCAATACCGGATGCAACGCTGAGGCTTGCCAATACAGACATGCTCATACCCCGCAGCGGCAGTTGAATATACTCTGAGGAAGCCGTTAGATAACGGACCTTGCTCTAAGCTTTATGCCTACGCAAAACTAGGAGTTGTAACCGGTCCTAAAAGCCAGGGCTCCTAATAGTGCAGACCATTTAGACTATTAGTCCAGACTGCAGATCAGGGCAGGGAATACGGACGCCCGGTAGCATGGCGTTACAAAACCAGGGTGCCCATGATTATTGCTGTGCCAACCGTTTGTTTTTGGATATTTCTGGTCAATTTACTGGTGCGATCCAGATCAATAAGGCTCGTTTCAAGGGATGCATCATCCTAGTCATCGATCCATGAACGCCAGTCGTGGATTGATTATTGATCTTGGATTGCAGTCTGGACTAATAGTCCAAACCGTCTGGACTATTAGGAGCCCTGCTCGCGACGTTTTCGTCTGCCTGCACATGCAGTCAGAGCGGGGATAGGCATCGAGAACGATCTGTTTCAGCCAAGACGCCGCAGTGACGCAAAATTGTCTGACTGTTCGTTGCGAATAGGGCGCCATACCG